ATTCTATTCTATTCTATTCTATTCTATTCTATTCTATTCTATTCTATTCTATTCTATTCCATTCCATTCCATTCCATTCCATTCCATTCCATTATATTCTAATTTGAGTCGACTAAAGGTGTAACCTCTACATAGTTTATATGGGAAGAAGTCACAGTTTTTGCCAGTTGCCTCACTTGCTGTCCCCTGCTGTGGAAAGCTTTAGAGGCCCCAAATTCAAGGAGGCCTCCAATTTTGGCCTAATTTCGGCAAATAAAAAAGAAGTCCCATATATAAAAGTAAGATAGATGTCTTCATCAGGAAGATACGTGACAGAGAACAGAATATAACTGTTGCTGGCTTATTAATCATAGCAGCTACTTTCATAGCTATATCACAGATTGAGATATTTTAGCAAATAGGTCAGAATCAGTTGGTCTAATGATTAAAGCATTAGGCTAGCTAGAATATGGAAAACTGTGACTTTTAGCCCTACCTTAGGCACAAAATCAGTTGGGTGACAAGGGCAAACCACTTCAAAAAATGTTGCCCATCACAACCCTTGGGAGATCCTTCAACCAAAACTTCTCATCAAGTGCTCCCTGGAATTACAATAAAATGTTGCCCAGAAAATTTCAGGGTTGAGTCTATGCAGTTAGCAACTCTGACTCAAAAGTCATCTCTCTCTCTCTCTCTCTCTCTCTCTCTCTCTCTCACACACACACACACACACACACACACACACACACGTACAAATCAATCCTTAAAGACAGTTCCACCCTGGTTCCCCAAAAGCCTAAAGCTACCTCTGTTCCTTGAATAGCATCCAATTCCTTTGAATTTTGCTAGTGAGAAATGTTTCTAGCCACTGCTCGCGATTGGAGTAACTCAGCTACTGTTGGTAGCCAACTCTACCATCAGCAGTGACAGTATTTCTAAAGCAGAGATATGAAAAAAAAATATCTATGGTTGGTTCTGCCAGCTGCTATAATTACTCAGATGTTTCTCATCACCCAGAAGCTTAATTTAAATCTCAAAATAGAATTGGAGTAATAGCAGCTATTACCAGACTCTTATAAAATCTCTAAGAGATGGTTACATTTTCCTGAGATAGTTCAGTACATATACAGCAGGTGTATATGTAATTAAAACTTCATCCAGGACAACGGAGATGCTGAGATCACATCACAATTCTTACACAGAAATGTCTTCTAGGTAAAAATTTGGTACCCTATGCAATTTAGATTTCTGTTCCATAAGAATTCTGCTACATGGAATGAAGACCTCGGTCTGTAGGCCTTCTAAGGCCAAAGAGAGAAGGAGAATTCCAACTAGATCAACCACTGTCATCCATCACAGAAAGCATGTGCAGCCAATTGTAGTTTCAAATATATTTCAACAATTACAGACAGCAGGGTACTTTGGCACCAGAATCTCAGGGTTCAAAACTCAACGAAAGCCAACCTGTGTTAGCACAATGGAAATTTTGGCAAGACAAATAAGCCAGATCACAATCCAAAGTTCTGATTCTAAGAAGACATTCGGGAAGGCGGGGATATGACAACAAGAGAAGAGGTTCCTCTTCTCCAGACCATCACAAACTTAGAGCAAATCAAAAGTGAAGCCAGTAGCCAAATCCAAGAACGCAATCGCAACCGCCTTAAGATAGGTTAAAAAAAAAAAGAGCTTTTAAATATTTGCAAATGGACAAACATTTCACTCTAGTAGCAAAAGCAGTCCTGTGTGCTCACACTGCAGTATTTTGAGAAGATCAATCCAAATAAATTTGTTGGGAATGGATAAAACTTCCCCCTTTGATTTAGTTTCGGCAATGACACTCTTTGGTTGTCTTGTTCATAACATTGGAACAACAACGTTTGTGCACCTCCATTGAAACAAATGCTAATCCCAGCATCATCCTAGTTAAATGCTTGTTAAAACTGCAATCCAAGAGTAGGGCAAAGCACATGCAGGCTGGTCCATTGAGTTTCTTTCTGGAAAAGTTAGCCCATCACAACCCTTGGTGAACAAAACTTCTCATCAAGTGCCCCCTGGAATTACAATAAGTTCTCATGTGATTTACTTTGGACGTCTGGTTAAACCAAAAGCGTGTTGGTATTTTAGTGATTTGAGTAGAAGTAGTAGGTTTTTTTAAAGGGGTCAAAAAATCTAATGGGCATAAAAAATTCAATTAATGCTAGTTCTTGTTATTGGTAAACAGAAGGCCAGAAGGTGGCTAATTGCCTACCTTGATCTTCTCAAGGCATCTTCATCTGGATCTTGCACTGCAGATGAAAAATTGGTAATGTTAGAAGGAGAAGCATCAGGCAAGACGTTTGAATGGAGAATGAAACCTTACTATGGTTTGTGGGGGAAGAACTACATCTTACTCTCACAACAACAGGCTCATTGTATAGAGGAAATATCCTGGAATCTCTCAACATCATTTATTTTATCTACCGGTAGAAAGTATCCGTATCTTTCAGTTTAGATCATGGACATATTTCCCAATAGAACTTATTTGAGGAATGGGGGACAAAACAGGTGTCCTATCCACTCTGTAGCTAAAGGCATTGTATCACAGTTTTCAAACAGAAGTTTGAATTTGAATCCTTTCTCAAATTCCGATCTGCTTTGTCAATCTCAAAAGCCTCCCCCAAATAAGCTTTTAGGAAAATAGATTTATAACTGGCATTATTGACAGATTACCTGACATTTGATGTAGTTAAATCCCAAAGCAGGGAGTGTTTCATAATTGTGAAAAATAAGAATAAACTGAATGGCAGAAGGGTTGTTTTGCTTTTCACTAATGAGAGTTGGTGATAAATTCGTTCTTTACCAACAGATGGTTGTTTGACAGCGCTGTTCATTTGGTAGGTAAAGCAATGTTTAATCCAGATAGTCCTACAGATTATTTGAGGGGCTTGACTGTGCGGTTTCAGACCAGAGTCCAGCATGGATATTACATTGGTCTTAAAAACTTCTGCAACTTATTGTACCCACCACTAATATCGTGACTTAGTTTGAAATTTGGAATCTTGTGGTTGGAGTAGAACATGCTTTAGACCAGGGATCTCTAACCTTGGCAACTTTAAGCCTGACACACTTCAACTCCCAGAATTCCCCAGCCAGGGAGTTGAAGTCCGCCAGGCTTAAAGTTGCCAAGGTTGGAGACCCCTGCTTTAGACTGTATGAACTGCTATTGCTTTGATTTGGAAGACTTTCCTCCCTTGACTCTTTTCTGATCTAGTTTCAGCATAGGCCCCCCCCCCCCCCGCACAGTATAGACACAAAGGTCAAAACCACACTGCCTAACTCTTCTTAGTTGGGTTGAGAAGTAGCCTTCAGCCTGAAGAGTTCTCCTGAACTCTTCACAATGTTAGGTCATGATCTTCTGAAATGTTATGTATTTGGCCCAGGAGGAGCTATAAAGCCTTCAGTCATTTTTCAATAGACTTCAGGGTCAGAAGAAGGCAGAGGGACCAGTTATCTACACTTCTGAAAATGAGTTTCATCAAATACAGGTACAACCATAAACTATATCCTGCAATTTTAAGAAGCTCAAAAGAAGGAGATCTTCCTATCTGCTCTGGTCTTCTTCACCCACTCCCAAGCCTCTCCCAAGTAACAGGTGACTTGTTAAGCAAGGAGAATCACAACAAATTTGGTAGATGACTTCTTGGTTTGAGGCAATTTCCTTAATCTTACAAGACTTTTCGATATCTGCCCCAGGAATCTACAATGGTTTAGGGGGACTATTCAAGTGACAACACAGAAAGTTGTAGAGAAGAGGCAGGAAAGAGAAACACAATTTTTGTAAACTTCCTTCATATGTGCCTTGACTTAGGAGGTAGGGCTAACTCATCAATTCAGGTGCTCTGGCTCTGCTTATGTGAAAGCAAACTTCTCAATTTCCATGAATTCATTTGGTGAACTTCCTTCTGAGTGCAGGTAGTTCTCGACTTACAATCACAATTCAGCCCCAAAATTTATGTTGCTAAGTGAGAAATTGGTCAACTGAGTTTTGCCCCATTTTATGACTTTTTTTTTTTGTCACATGTGTTAAGTGAAATCGCTGCAGTTGTTAAATTAGTAACATGGTTGTTAAACAAATCTGGCTTCCCCATTGATTTTGCTTGTCACTGACCCGGGACACTGCAACTGTCATAAATATGAACCAGTTGCCAAGCACCTGATTTTTAATCACATGACCATAGGGATATTGCAATGGTCACAATGTGAAAACTGTTAATCTTCTCATCACTCCTTATCACCCATCCCCTCCCACTTGTGACTGTAGGACTGTAACTTTGTTGCCTGTATCCTTACGATCTATATGGACTGTTTCCTAGTAGGATTTGATTGCTTATTGTACCCTTTGACTATCATTAAGTGTTGTACCTGATGATTCTTGACTCTTGATGAATGTATCTTTTCTTTTATGTACACTGAGAGCATTTGCACCAAGACAAATTCCTTGTGTGTCCAATCACACTTGGCCAATAAATAATTCTATTCTATTCTATTCTATTCTATTCTATTCTATTCTATTCTATTCTATTCTATTCTATTCTATTCTATTCG